ACTGATCGGGTCCACACATGGCCAGTCATCGATAATCAGATCGAGAGTCAGGCAGCCCCAAAAAAAAAATGTTGTCGCTTTCTTGCGAGCCAGGCGGTGCTCTGAGCCCCCGCCACAGCACCAACCCTACGCGCTGCCGGAACTGGCAAGTGGCACATCTCCGCATCGCGCACCTGACCAACGCCTCCTTCTCAAGCCTTAGGTCCCATGAGTGCATAATGTCCGGGCGCACTTTCTGCGGCGATATCTGCGTGGGCTTATACTGGGCTTATTCGGTGCCACTTAGGACCGTCATCTGTCTGCGCGCTCGATGGGTTGCGGCACCGATCCTTCGGTTACGAAACCGTGTTCCTGAACCCCTACCATACACACAGCTTCACTCACGACATCTGACTCGTTTAGACGCCCCCCAACGTACCCACACTTTATTTATTTTTATTTTGAAAAAATTATTTTTAAGTTTTTGCAGCATTTTACTTATATGGCGCGCGTTGCTCGCGCGTATGAGATCGGTAAAGATACTTATCGGGGATCAGCGCGCGATCCTCGGCGCTGAACTATGTCGCGTTTACCGCGCGATCACCGAGTGGGGAACCATCTCGCCATGGAAACACGGGCCCACCCGCAGCTTTGCCGCACATATTGCGGACTACGATGAACTTCGGAATTGTGGCGAGGGCTATTTCCCCGACAACACACCTCGTTGGTTGCGCCACGATTGGGACAATCGGGCTTCTCGCTGTCTAATTGTTTGTCAGTCCGTCCGGGTATGGAGGGGGAGCGAAGAAAGTGCGATCAGCCTGCCACTCTGGGTGTATGGCTGTAATACGTGTACAACAAGGCTGTCAGAAAGAGCGAGCTGCCCCGATGGCTTGAACAGGCAGCGCGCATTCATAACTTACATTGACAACAACGCGTTTTCCAGATGTTGGCTGAAGGTTGATTATAATCAGCTAGCCACGACTCGGTCCACGGGGACTGCACGACTTGCATGGGTACTGCATATGGATAACTTCTGGAAGTGGCGTCGATCGTCGATAATGCGGTTGCAAAAGACAGTTACGGTGCATCCACGGGCCACAAGACTTATGGATAGAGAAGGGCGTCATTTGAAATGGTTACTCTTGAGCCGCAGCACGGGGATAACGGCCTTCGGCGACAGTATGAAAGGGAGATAGTAAAATGCGCGCATTTGTGCACAGGTGGCCGAAGTGAGTAAGACTCGACCCATATTTGAAATGAGACGGAAGCGAACCATCACCTCGCTAATCATGGGGGCCATGAAACGAGGCGACTCCGCTGCACAGCTGACGCCTGTATGGCTGCCTGTGAACGAGCTGGCTGAGGTGAGCACGAAGATGAGACGATAGCCAGCAAACACCGGCGAGCTCAGCGATTCGATCGATCCATAAAAGGATGTGCGGCTTATTTCGGGATAAATCACGCTGCGAGCGTCGCTACCGTGGGGAGGCTATAATCTCACCAGACGACGATTACTAGAAGGGTGGGTCGATCGATGGGTTGTGTACAGGAGAACAGCTGTTCCCAAAGTAAAGCCAGGAAGAACGGGTCAGGACGAGTGAGGCAAGCGGAGTCAATCGCGGTATGGAGACGAACGGGAAACGGCGTTCCGAGCTAGCGTGAGCCTGGCAGGCGAAATGGTGGATAAAATTTCCTACGCCCCACGTATGTGTGTTGCACAGGGTAAGTATGTCGTCGCCGCTGGGATGGCTACGAAAACGATTTTTTTTTTTTTTTTTGCCATTCCCCGTGGAGAGGCGAAAACGGCGATCACGTATTAGCCAGAAGGGGTGAGGTTCTTGAAAATTGTGTCAGTGAGTGAAACAACGCCACACCACGCATATACAAGCATACTTGCATCTGCATCAAGGAAATCGTGTCCGAAACGCCCCAAAGTAGCATTTCACCACGCCTTGCACAGCCAACCCAACAAAAAGAGGAGCAGCAATACACCATTCGATAATCGATCCGGTAAAACACACACGCACAAATAATACAACGAAAACCAAAGAGAGATGTACCGAGAACTGATTAGCCACACCACCAGTAGATCGAAAAAAAAAACGAATCAAGGCGCACGGCATGCCCAGGTCTCGATGAGAATCGCGTTCTCCGCAGCTTCAACCCCATGCGTTCGCACATACACCGGCGAAAGTTTGTGCGCACGACACCCACGCGTATGTGTGGTACACACCCGGGGCAGCGGGCGCTGCTGCGTTTCTGACTGAGGGAAAAGAGAAAAAAAAACGTGTCGTGTCGGCAGGGGGCGATAATTTATACTAGGTGTGCTTCCACGTGATATGACTAAATCACGGGTCTGTGCGTGCGAAAAACGGACGGGTATTTAAGGGGGGCGCATTGTATTCTTTCCTTCATGAAAGTTGAACAACCTGGGGTCACACAAGCAGCCGGTTTTTACTGCTTTGACTTGGGTGACTTTGAATGATGTTTTCGCTCAGGGAGAGTAACGTCACCTCCTTACCAAGATCGCCCCCGTTTCGTTTTCGGGTGCGGCCCGTCGAGGAGGGACATGCCCATTTACACGTGTAAGTCTGTACATGTACACGTCCATATTCCCTGTCGTCCGCTTTTGTATCCCGACGCCGAGATATTTAGCCGTTCTTCCTTCCCTTTGTGACGCGATGGTGTTGTTCTTTGCAGTTCCGTTCCCTACTCGGCTGCGCGAGCGAGCTACGGAGGCGATGAACACGTCAACGAACAAGTGACGCCGATGGATACCCCACAGTTTATCACATGCGAGAAACTGAGGTTTGAACCAGTGTGTTCAGTGCTCGAACACTTGACTGTCGGAGATATCTCTGTGTCATGCGTGGCATGTTGAAATACTGTTATTGGTCCAGTGTTGCAACACCTATAGATGCGTGTCTAGTTCTATATCAGCACATCAATGATTAGTATTTTACGGTGCCAATAAACAATTTGTCCTCTCCACGACAATATGGTGCCCTGCTGGAGTATACGAAGTGTGAAGCCGTGCACTTCGGACATCCTTTTTGGCAGACTTCGACAACCAGGTCCCGGATTGAATCCGATGTGTCACGCTCAACGATCTCCCACTATTTTTCGATTGTATCTCTATCAAAGCATATATTGAGGGTGCATTGCCCTCTAAGACTTGGCTGGTTGGTGTTGCATCTCCGGGGTTCGCTTTGTTGTATCACACCAGTGACAGTAATGTCCGATTTCAACGTAACGGGGGAGTAAAGTACAGGCGCACGGAATACTGGATGTGAGCAGAACCGATGCCCCGAGAATACATTAATGGTTTGCAAAGAAAGACACCGTCATGTCCGGCTTGCTCAATGCTCGCTCACGAATACCGCGGCCATGCCCATGCCCGAACCGATGCACATGCTCGTTACAAATATGCGCTTTCCTGTTTGCTTTGCAATGTTCAAGCCAGTGGCGATCTGGCGCGCGCCAGCTATGTAAAGAAAAGGGGGTTAACAAGGTCCTCGGCGGTGAGCAAACAGGGCAAGAACTCACTCATACCAAGAGGGTGACCAATAGCAATTGCACCCCCATGAAGGTTGACTTTTTCGTATGGCAGGCCGAGCTTCTCGATGGAGTATATGGCTTGGGACGCGAACGCCTCGTTGATCTCGAAGAACTCGACGTCCTCCGGTTTGAGACCGGTCTGCTTGAGCACCTTCGGGATGGCGAACGCGGGGCCGATACCCATGACTCGCGGGGGAACACCGGCGACGGCAGCAGCGACAAATTTGCCGGCGATAGGAAGGCCAAGGCGCTTTGCGGTCGAGCGACGTGCGAGGAGAACGGCGGAGGCGCCATCGGAGATCTGTGATGCGTTGCCGGCGTGGGTAGTACCGTCTTTCTTGAACGCGGGCTTCAACTTGGAGAGACTCTCCGCAGTAACGCCGTCACGGATGCCATCGTCCGCCGACACTGTAATCTCCTTGACCTGTTCCGACTTGGGATCCACCCAATTCACTTTGAGTGGTGCGATCTCATCGCGGAAGCCGCCAGCCTTGGCAGCGGCCGCGGCCTTTTTGAAGGAGTTGGCTGCAAAGGCGTCTTGCTGTGCACGAGTGATGCCGTAGTCAGCTGCAACGTTCTCTGATGTAATGCCCATGGGAATGAGACAGTCTTCTGACTCCTGATTGGAAAGAACGGCCTCGGACCAGCCATCGGGTAGTGTCGTGGGGCCGTAACCGAAAGTCATGGATTCGACACCGGCACCTGCGCCAACCAATCACGTGAGGTTGCCGGCGTGGCACAAAGACGCGTCAATGCGTACCGATACCAATATCAATCTGTCCACAGGCGATCTGTGCGGCAATCTGGTTGACAGCGGTGAGGCCAGACGAGCATTGACGATTGACAGTTGCAATGGGGGTAGAAACTGGTATGCCGGCGTGAAGAGCAGCCATGCGGGCCCCACTTGCACCGCCGCCAGGAGGAAGAACGTTTCCGACGCTGATGTCCTCAATAAGTGAAGGGTCGAGGTTGACCTTCGTATAGACGGCACGAAGAATGCCTGAAAGCAACTCCTCTGGGCGGGTATCCTTAAATCCGCCTCGCTTTCCCTGTAGAACGAGTGTTGGAGAGGAAAAGCCGAGAAACGACATCGAAAAGTACCTTGGTCATAGCAGTGCGCACTGCTGCGACGATTACTACGTCATTGTCGCTCTGTGCAAGGACTGCGGCCTTGCCGGAATATGCAACTTGGGCAGAAGATGCCATTGTGGAGGGGATTTTCAAAAGATTTTGCGGGGGTGTAAGAGTAAACAAAGCGTCTGTGACGTACGGTTATAAACGGAGAGAATAGCCGAAGCCGAAGACACAAGCAAAAGGTCGCCGGACATGTGATATCAGCACGATCTAACCTTTACTGTGAAACTGCGCGTATTTACTACAATGACAAACCGGCCGTAAGTTACAGCGTTTCAACGCAGTACTCTCTGGCGCTGCTGGAGAAACAAAAAGAAACAAAAAATGGGCTCAACCGGGAATTGAACCCGGGACCTCCTCCAATTACGGGTGTACCCGAAGAAGGAATCATACTACTAGACCATTGAGCCGTGTCAATCGTGAGCTGCAAATATACAAAGTTGCCAGAGTGTCCCCGGCTGGTTGACTGATGAACCGAGTTCATAATCAGCAACCCTGCACGTTCTGGCCGACGAATGGGACCCGCGAGTTATTCCCGCACGGACTTAAACAACCACAGTGACGTTCCGGTGCGCCTCTCCACGCCCTACTCCGTCATCCCCTCGACACATCTCAGTATGACAGCCCACCTAGATTGCCGACCCCAAACTCCAACTGGCGGCCCATGCCGCCCGCGCGGCCAAACTGCACGCACGTCTCATGGCGACTCTCGACACCCTCGATTCGGAACGTCGCACGTATGCCGAGGAGATTTCTGAGGAGCGCCGTCAGCGTGTCGCCCTTCAGGCACAGGTGCGTTCCGCCAGGGCCGAGCGAGCCGCAATGGAGGAGGAACGAGACAGTCTGCGCGAGGCCGTCCTGCACCTCATCGAGAAAGGTGCGTCGCACGTCGCACAACGCACATACACCCCTCGGCCTGACCACACCGCGCGTATCACAGTCGAATTGTGCAACGATTATAGCCTCTGGCCTCACAGCGGACTCTCGTCGACCAGTCTGGCTGGTCTGTCTTTTTTTCTTTTACCTTGCCATTCATTCACGATGATCGATAGTCCCACCAAAGCCCCGTCGCCTGCACGAACAGCCACAGACGACGTGGACCGCAGCCGGACGCGCGTACTCCGCTGCACTACTCACCGCACTGCGCGAGGAGTGTGGGCGCGAGCATGCAGCGCGCTCTGCGGCCCTGCAGCGCGTCGCAGAACTCGAAGCCCAGCTCGCGCGGCGCGAGGCTGAGCTCGAGGAGCGGTACGAGACCGCGCCGACGTCCCCCATTCCGTCCCTCTCGCGCGACAGTGCCATCCGCGTGCTGCAACAGTCCGCTGCGCGGAACGAGGCGCTAACGCACGAGGTCGCCGGGCTCGTACAGAAGGTGCGTGTGCTTTTCGTACACCATCGGCATGGCCTGACTGTTCGTCTGCAGCTCGAGGATGCGCGCGCGACGCTGAGGCTGGATGAGAGTCTACCGCCAGACCGCAGTGGGACGACGCCGACACCGACACCGACGATACCCCTCCCACTTCCTCCGACTCCGCCGCGCAATCGCGCGTCGACACCGGAGTCGCCCACACCGCGGCGTGGTCTGGCACCTCCGCCTCCGCCTTCACCACCTCAATTAGTACGCTCCCCAGAACGCTTGTCTCCGACTCCCGCGCCGCGCCATCCTCTGCGCGGCACAGAGCCCCCGACAGACCTAGCGCGGCAGATAGCAGTGGTGACAGAAGACCTCGCGGGCCTGTGCGCTGAACAGCAGCGCCTCTCCCAGATGCAACATGAACAGGTGCGCCTCGCTACACTTTCGCGCGACACAGCAGTCCGAAACTGACTTTTTTTCTCCCCGTAGGTCCATCCCCGGCAGCAGGAGCAGCAAGACGCGCCACCACGCGCTTCTACGCCGCCCTGGCGCACCTTTCGGCGCATATTGCTCGTTGAAGAAGAGTGCATCCGGTGCGCCCTGCGCTCTCCCTTTTACGTGTTGTTACTGATCGTCGTCGTAGATTGCGCGCCGAGCTCGCTGCGTCTACCACACGCGAGGCTGCGCTGCGGGAGCTGCTCATACCCACGCCTGTGCTTGCTCTGGAGTCCTTGCCGACGGAAAGGGACCTCTTGGACGACCGTGGCGATGAGGATGGAGTGGAGATGGACCTCGCGACACCGCTGCAGCCCACGGTGCTGCTCAATCCGGAAGATTTACGGCCAGGATAGTGCTTCTCTGCTGAGTTACATCTAATACATTGTTTATCTATTCGTGTACCTTCCCCTATCCTCCCTCCTGTTCCTTTTTGGTTTCTCTCTCTTGATTTTATTCCTGTTGTTGTGTTGCTCTCTGGCCGTATGTATTCCTAACCTGCTCAGTTGCTGTCGTTGTCGCTGTGCTGTGTCAGTTCTACGTGTTTGTTACACATGCTATCGACGTTTGGTTTTGGACTCGGAATTATGTTGGATGTGTGAACGGGTAACGTGCAACTGTTTCAAGCGCCATGCATTCCGAGGCACTCAAGCCCGCCAGGTCAGACAAGAAAATGTGCTCTTTCCTAGAGTCCGACCAAGCTAGCATGTCGTCGGGGGTAAGCGGGCGTTAGAGACTCGGATTTGCACGGTATCGGATGTATTGGGGTGCCTGTGCGTACCGTCTAGTTCACCGTTCGGTAAATCGGAGGCAAAACAAACCCGACTGTGTTTGTAAGAAGCCCGAAAAGAAGCCCGAAGTAGCTTACTGTACCGTGCCTGTAGACCGGTGACCGTATTGCTCTATGAGATGCCGACTGCGCTTAGTCGCTTGCGACCTCACAAAAATCCTCATTCGAACGGCTGGTTACGAGTCAGTGCCTGCGCTATGGCTCGGGCAGCTGTGCAGTCTCAAGTGTGGCTTGAGTGAGAGTTCCCCCATCATCCGTTTCTCACAATGATGCACCGCCACGGATGGGTCTACCAGGCGTTTTGTCACGGGGACGGCTTGTAGCTCGAGTCATATCATCTACGCCCTGATACACGTTGAGAACCAGTATATATACATTACAGCATTCTCTTCGCAGATACATACGTACATGACAATCGACGCTCGCCCACAAACACTTCCTTTTAGTATAGAGAATGCATTCACGGACCGGCTCGACGGGGGCAACCCCGCCGCGGTCGTGCGGGTGCCCTCGCTGACCGCGCTTCCCGACGCAACGCTGCAATCAATCGCCACGAACTTCAACCAACCAATGACGGTGTTCATCGCGCCGCGCGAGACCAACGCGAACGACATATCCGGCACGGCAACGTTCGGCATCCGGTGGTTCACCACGGAGATCGAGGTGCCGCTCTGCGGGCACGGTGCGGTTGCGGCAGCTGCGTCGGTGCTCCACGGAGCCGTGGCCCCTAGCGCGATACGATTCGAGGCGCCGACGGGCAAGTTCCTCATCGCACGCCGCGTAGAGGAGGGCCGCATCGAGATCGACCTCGACGCAGGGCGTTCCGAGGCGCTCGTGGGAGCGGAGGACGCGCAACTGCGGGGCGTGTTCGCGCGCGCGCTCGGGGAGCACGTGCGCGTGACGTACATCGGGCGCGGGATGGCGCACATGGATCAGTATGCGCTTGTCGAGGTGGACACGCACGATTTGAAAAGCCTCAAAGTGGACATTGACGCACTGGTAAGTTTGCCTCGACTCGTATATGGACCGGCGGTGTTGATAGGAGTTTGGGGTTAGCGGGATAGTCCGTTCATGGTGAACGTCGTCGTCGCGCCGTCGTCGGTCCCTGGCGTGGCGTTCGAATCGAGGATGTTCGCACCTCGTGCCGGAATACCCGAGGATCCGGTATGCGGCACCGCGCACGCATTGTCGACGCCGTATTGGATGGCCACAAAGGAGCTGTCCGGGGTGATCAATGCGAGACAGGTCAGCACTCGTGGAGGGGATCTTAGAATAGAATTAGACGTGGGAGAGCAGAGGATTAAGCTGGCGGGACAGGTCAAGACGGTGTCTAAGGGAGAGTTGTTCGTGCAGTAAAGCGTTGTTACATAATCACATCAGTGTGTCGAGGTTCGATACGTACATCCGCCTTCGTCTTTGCTACGATCCGAGTCATGGCCGTGAAGCAGCCGTTACCACCCTCAGCTTCTACCCAATCTTCTCCTTCCAGATCGGAAATCGCAAGAAGCGTGACTTCCACCAAGTCTCGGTCAAATGTAAGTTCTCAGCCCCCTTATTGTTACCTCCCCCCTCCCTGCGTGGTCCGCTCGCACTGCGGCTTGCGGATATCTTTTGCTAGGGGTGTAGTGGTTCCCTTTCCTGGGCACAGGGCTTACCTTCTTGCTTACTTCGTTTAGCCTGTCGTCGAGTCTGCCGTCACCCGTCTACTTGTTTCTATCAAGCAGCTCCTCGAATCACTTACCCAATGGTCGATCAGCAAAGCTTCCGAAGAGGAAGTCAGCGACGTCTACGTGCGGTTGGGGAATGACTTCAATACCGCAGTAAGCGCGTTTGCTTTCTACGAGATCGACATGTCGTACGTCCCCTATCTAATTCCACTGATCCTAATTCTCACATCTTGCTATCAAGTGAACTCTTGGGCTTTCCGGATGAGTTGCGCGGGGTTCTGGAGGAATGTCTTTCTGAAGAGGCTTCCTCGACGACCCTTGATAGATACCTTCCTCAAGTGCGCAACATCGTCACCAATTTATTAAAAGGGCTCCGTGGAAAGCAACATACCTTCCGTCAAATCGTCTCCAACAACAGGCCAAAATCTGAGGCATCTGGACACACTCGCTCAGACAGTGGTCAAATGTCCCGTTCCTCCCGGACCCATGCAAGACGCGATACTCAATCTTCCATCGCCAGTACTGATGATGGCTTTTCCCGAAGAAACACTCAATCCTCAGTCGGATCTTCCCGAAGAAAAGAGTCGGGTACCTACGACCCCTCACTCAACGGCGACGCACACTTCGTTGGAGGATTTGGGTTTCCCGCCCCTATGCCCCAACCCCATAACAACTCAGGCCGTTCCTCACGACTTCCCAGCGATCCTCGTCCCCCATCTACTCCCGCTCATAGCTTACCTCCCCCATATACACCACCTCCCCAGAATGTCCCGCTCCCTGAACCCGATCCCGATCCCGAGGGGACGCCGGTCCCGCCGTTCAGAGCCTCGGCACCCCAAGTTCCTGCCAATGTCAAGCGTTACTCACTGGTGGATAAACCTGCGCAACCGCCGTCAGTGGTCGTCGATGATTCGTCATCCCAGAGTCCGACGGAGCCAGACCGCAGTAGCACACAATCCCCACCTCCCGAGCTTCCCGCAGTCGAAAACCTCACCGCGAATCCGGGCGTTGCGAGCTCTCTCGCCGCGCTAAAGAAGAGCGATTTGCTTGAGCGGCGCGCCTCGAAGCGCTTCTCAACCTACAATATCTCCAAGATGACAGGCG